TGTGAAATATTCCCAATTTCCAATGCTTCGTATTTACATTAAGTAACTGACTCAAATTAAATTGTTTGTTTTCTCATTTATTTTATAGGAAATAACATGCTGACAGTGAATCTAATCATTTTTAAAAACTGGTTAAAGTAATGTTTACAATTGACTTAAAATGCTTAAATGCAAGTTTATTTCATACAGAAATACCTTAATTGTATAGACTGAATTTACTTATAGATTCAATATATAGAAGAACCCCTTATGAATAGTAAAAACCATTTTTCAAACCTGATTTTCTTGCCTATTCTCTCATGCATTACCTAATTTGAGTTGAGTATTCTCAAATTATTGATTACATGAACAAACAAATTTAAGATAAAAACACAATATATGCTGAATGCCCTGAAATAAAATGGTTACATATTTAAGATGTGTAACACATCATGTACAACTTTTAAGTCTACAAAATTTTAAGTTAACCATATTATACAATAAGACTACTTTTTCAAAGTTATGAGAAATTCTCCACAAAAAATGTATTTATGCAAAAGATAAATGTTAGGGTACAATTTTAAAATACATTTTACATGAATCACATAAAGAACATGTCAAATCATTTCTTTGTGGTTGTTTTCCTTTTGAAACATCTGTGAACAGATATTCTGTTTTGTCTTATTGATACATAAAAAGCGTCCAAAAATCATTTGGAAATGTTGTGTTAAACCCTGATACTCAGAATTTTAAGAGTTTCTGATGTGTGCACTACTTAGAAATGTTTACAATGTAACAAAGATGAAATTCCTAATTGATTTAACCAGCAATTATAAAGTCATCAGGTTTACACATGCTTTTATAACACATCATGTACATTTTTTTTTCTACAAGTTTTCTTTGTTCACAAAAAATTGAAATCAACAGTACTTAGCATTCCATATTAAGAAATATGAACCCTAGCTATTAAAAATCTAAAAGTATATTTGTGCATCAATGCAATATGTTTAACAAAACAATCTCTTTCACTGTGATGAAAATTGTCTTTTTCATAGAACATGCAGATGAAGAACTTCTTTGGATGATGTCATTTTCACATGTAGAAAAGAAACTAATTCAACTAAAACTAAAAGACAGTCCTTAAAATTTTAAGGACATTAAAGGATGATATCAAGACTGATAAAATTCTACAATTATCATCCAAAGATGTATATGTTTGGATTTATTTTTTAATTCACAAGCAAATGATAAGCTGCCATTTAATCTTTCAAACTTAAAAAAAGTTCTTTACTTTTGAATGAAGATCTAGAGGAGTCTTCCCCATGCAGATCTATTTATGAATGGGTTTTTCCCCTTGACCTTAGTTCAAAACTTATATTATTCCAACCAGTCTTTATCTATGCAGTGATAATAAGATTTTTTACAGAATTCTTAGGTATTACATAGTAATAGTCTTTAAACATCCTTGTTGTGCATTTGATTTACATTTCCAATTCTTTCCAAAGAATATGCCATGTCACCCAATATAACAGATATAAAGTCTCTAGGTTATGACAAAATGTTAAAGTTTCAACATTACAAAGCTCATATTAGTAATCTTACCAACTGACTTTTACCCAGGAGAAAATGATCCAAAAATCTATAGATCATCTCCGAATCTTTCTTTTACTTATGATGTGAAGTTTGCAGGTTACAAATTATTGTCAAAGGTAGTTATCTCAATAATCTCATGCTTTGACCCTGACAAAGTGTCCTATAAAACTAAGTGTATTACTCTAACCTGTTCTGTGTAGTAAGCATGAAGTCTATGGGATGATAGAAATATTCAAGATATTATTACATCAGATTCACAGATCAGGGGACACTTACATCTTTATGGGGGTCCTATTGAGACCTATTAAATTCAAAATAGGAAACATACATACACAAACAAAATGTATTTACAGTTCCAGGAAAGTAATAATTACACCAAAGCTAGCTTTTAAACATCTGTGTAATTTGTTAGGGGTTGTAGAAATAAGATGAAAAATAAAAGGTTTAAATGTATACTTCTCATACATAACAACTGTCTTCAATATGAATTAGTAAAAATAAAAGTCACATTTAGATACTTTGAAGTCTGGGAATTATTTTTTTTAAGATCTCATACTATCAGAAAATCACAATATCAATTCTAGGATTTGATTAGACATCAGTTTGTTATAAGACTGCAATTTATCTATTGTTGTGTATGACAGAATATGAAAGAGATGAAGGGGAGAGCTTTTGACTTTTTTTTCCTTCAGCATAGTTTAAAATATATATTATACAGGTCTTTATCTATGTAGTGAATATAGGAATTTTACAGAAACCCAAGGTATTACATAGTAATAGTCATATAAACACCTTTGAACATTGTACATTTGATTAACATTTCATTCCTTTCCTAAGAATTTGCACCTAATTTTTATAAAGTCTATAAGTTATTACACAATGTTTAAGTTATTGCATTACAGGATTCAAATCAGTAATCTCAGTAATTAACTTTTACCCAGGAGTAAATGATCCAAAAACTCTATAGAAATATCTTACTGATTCTTAAATCTGAGTGTGTACTTATGATGTGAAGTTTGTAAGTTACAAATTATTGTCAAAGAAGTCATCTCAATAATCTTATGCTTTGACCTTGACAAAGTGTCCTTAACAACAAAGTGTATTCCTACAACCATTCTATATGTAATTAGTATGATGGATGATAAAGATATTCAAGATATTATTAAAACACAGATTATGGGACACTTGCATCTTTATTGGGGGTCTTATTGAGACCCAATTTAAATTCAAAATTAAACATGATACATACACAAACAAAATATATTTACAATTCCAGGAAAGTTAAATAATAACATTAAATCCAGCATCTGGATATCTGTGTTAATTTCTAGGGGGTTGTAAAAATTAGATGAAAAATAAAAGGTTTTAATGTGTAATTCCCATACATAACAACAGTCTTCAATATGAAATGGTAAAAAATAAAAGTCACATTCACATACTTTGAGGTCAGTGAGAATTAGTTTTTAAAGAGCTCATGCTATCAGAAAATCATATTTTCAATACTTGATTGACTAGATCTCAGTTTGATAAATGATTACACTTTATCCATAGTCAGTGTCTGACAGTAAAAGATACAATCCTGGGTCCTTTCTTTGTCATCCTGTTAACCACAGTCTATGATCGTACTGGTTAAATTAGTTGGAAATCATATTTATCTATGTTCTTCTTAAATCCTCCATCCTCCTCCTGTTTGATTTTCTTGTTTCAGTGTTCCAAGAGAGGATATTCTGTTAGTCTTTGCATAATCTGATAGTCTTTCACCATTCTGAGAGTAGACATAGATCATTTCCATAAGCCCTCACTAGAATATCCTGGAAAATAAAAAATAATGTCTTATTTAAATTTTTTTTTTAATGTAATATAAGCTTGATGGAATTCTAAATATAGACAAAAAGGGTATAAATACAAGGTGTAATATCAGATTTTGACTTTTCATATTAACCATGGGTAACACCTCCAGTAAAGAAAAGAGTAAAGGAATGAGTAAAATTCAGTTTGGAAAGAGAATTCTTTCAGAGAAAGATATAGACAGAGGTATACCAGTTAAAATAAAAAGATGGCACTATTGAGATCATTTCTCAAGAAGAATATAATCAATTATGTCCAGAAAAGGGTGTACCTAATGTTGTCAGAGATTACATAGAAAGACCCTTGATTGCAGAAGAAGCAAATGAAGAATATAACCATTTATTACCAAAAGAGGGTAAGAATTACTTGGATTACTCTGAAAGACCTTTGACTAGAGAAGAAGTCTAGTTTATAGATGATAAGAGAAAACAGTTGTCAGAAAAAAATGTTGTTAAAGACACATGATTTTTAGCCCACAAAACCATTGGAGATACAAGGATTACAAGATATAAGGATTAATGGAGGAAGTCCAAACTGAACTCTTGGAGGACATTAAGGCTTATTATGAGAGTAACTTTTCCAGTATTTGTTTATTACAAAATTATGTATTCTAATTTAAAAAAAAAAAAAGTTTTCACTTTCATTTGTTGTGCTTAAGACCATTTAAATTGACCTTATGATCAAGATTGTGATATATACATTCTGATATTATCATTTATGATGTCTCTATGATGTCTACCTCAAAAGTTTGAATCAGGGTATTTGTGTTCAAAGAGCTGAAGAAACTATACAGACAGATCTAAGATTTTGGAAGCATACATATTAATGAGGTTAAAGGAGATATAACACTAGATTATTATAAAAGAAAGAACACAAACTCATAGAAATGATATTGAAAGTACCTTAAATGAATAAAGTGTCATGCTCCAAAGTATTATTTTTATAAACAGGAGAAGGTTTACAGCAGTCCCATACACTCATAAGAAGATCTTGGGTAGTAGAAACACCAGGGAATGTTATTTCCAAACAATCAGATCATCTTACATCAGTTATATGGTTACAGTCTTTATGCATAATCAAGAGGGTCATTAAGATTTCTTTTATGGTCATCCTGATGGGCCACATTATAGTATTTTTACCCTGTGATATAACGTTAATATTAAATGAAAAATTCAGAAATTTTATTAGCAATTGGAGTCAAAACTTCTTATCTTTACCAACTATGCTATTAAGGAAGCTGGGGGTTAACAAATTAGCCATATTTAACTTATTCTATAGATATGCTATCTTCAGCTGTTGACTATCATTTGGAAAGAAAAACTTCATACATTTTAGTTTTAAAATTTGATCATGATTTTTATGCCTTTTCTTGTGAAGGATATCAATATGGTTTAAACATGACCATGACCACCAAGCCCTCTTTATTTTAAAAAAAAAATCATATATCATTTACTTATCAATTCCAAAATATAAAAATGCATATGTAAATAAATAAATAAATAAATAAATAAATAAATAAAAATTACAATTGTATCTCATTGAAAGTTTACCTTCAAGTTTGTGTGTTTCTATGTTGATCATTTTTTGACTAACTGTGTATTTCCAAAGGAATAGCAGACAGTCTGAACTTCATAGAGAATGGATTATAGATGGTTAGGAACAAAACATATCTTCCAGGTTGAGGACTGTATAGAAAATAAAACCATTTTGTTAATATGACAGAGTACTGTGTGAAACAATACATGTTTAAAAATTGAACAAACATGTACAATGCCAAAAAAGTTCATGAAAATGTTTGTTTTTTAATCTCAAAACAAATTGTTTTTAACATTAACTCCAGATGAGAAAAGTTCATCATGTTATCTTTAGATAATAAAAAAAAAGCATAATTACTGTATTGATATCACAAATAAAATGATTATCAAATTAATTATTTAGACACTAAAAGATTTTTTATTAACAACAGATTCAATTTTGATTAATATCTGTCAGTACTGCATACAGAAAAATACATCTTTTTTAGCCTCATCACAGTACAACATGTAGTCCTTAATTTTTTGAAAAGCTCATTACTAAGAAACAAATGAAAATGAAAATATATGTATGTCATATATCCCACATATTTAGAATCAAAACAAAAAGTAAATAACTTAGGATTAATCTTTTGTAAATTCCTCCTTTTCTCTCATTACATTCCCAATCAATATCTCTTTGATCACCATTTAGTAAGTCTGAATTCCATGGGTAACATACATAATGAATTATGAAATTAAATCATAATCTATACAAAAGGACTTATTAATATTCTGAAGATCCCTTGATACATTTTAGGTTAAATAAGGGTGTGCTTATATGAATGTAAGTTAGAGACATTAGATCACATAAGTATTACACAGTAATTAAAGTAACCATATAATCATGGTTAAATGCAAAGATGACCATCATATAAATGTAAAAATTAAAACAAGACTAACTTACCAGAGATATTCAACTATATGCCCAATAAGCCTATCCATTAAATAATCCAGTGAAATAACATCTCAGCTGATCCTGAAAAAATCATACAATTCAGTGATACACATTTAAATAACCTAATTTTACAATGTAAGTAAAGCAATAATTTACAGACAAATGGGATAGAAATGTAAAAGATACCATGTATTTTACCAACATTTAGTGAATATTTTTCTGATTGAAATTCAATCATAGAATAACCCATCATAGAAATAATAAATGCACTCTGAGTTACATGCAGGTTATACAACTGTAAATCACATGAAATGAGGATAAATACAGCATTTCCATTCAAAATAGAACTTTACATATAAATAATAGTTAAATGCAAAGATGACCTTCATAGTAAATGTAAAAATTAAAACAAAACTAACTTACCAGAGATATCCAACCATATGCCCAATAAGCCTATCCATTAAATAATCCAGTGAAATAACATCTCAGCTGATCCTGAAAAAATCATACAATTCAGTGATACACAAATTAACCTCATTTTACAAAGGAAGTAAAGCAACAACTGACAGACAAACAGGACAGAAATGTAAAAGATACCATATGTATTTTACCAAAATTTAGTAAACATTTTTTCTGATTTAAATTTAATCACAGAATGACCCATCATAGTAATATTAAATACACTCTGGGTTACATGCAAATTATACCTTACATGAACTGAGAATAAATACCCCATTTACATTCATATAAACTGAATTTTACATAACTAATTACTCTTTTAACTGATGTCACCATTAGTATGTCAGAATATTCAGGGTGTACAAATCATGTATATTCACTTTTAAAGGACTCAATATATATTTTACATGTTGATGTTTGAAGTCACTGACTAAATAAAATACATACATGTATATACATGAAGGTTTAAAAAAAGGGGGGGCACACATGTTTATAGATTTACAGAGATGCTCAGACTGAGTTTTTCCCACTTTCATTGGGCCACTTTGCACCAGAATGTAAAAATATGAGTGACAAATAAGGCAAAAGATTCTGTATATTTCATTAAAAAAGATTTGAGACAAAAGATTCATTGGCATAATATGATCTGATTGATTATCTCCATATCCTTCTTTTGGTCACTGTGATTAAAGATTCATAGAAATATTAGAAATGACAACTGAGAATATCACTTTAGTTGTTTTAAAAGCATGTATCAGTATTTTATAAGATATGCTAGGAGTCTCCTCATAAGAATATTTAGAATACTGATCCAATAAAAGGAATCTGAGACAATATGATCATAACTCATGCAAAAAAGATTTATCAACATTTTGAGGATCTTTTAGTGTCCTAGTGTATTTCAGGGTAAACAATGGCAGTGTTTATATGAATGTTCTAAACATAAGGTATATAACACAGTAATAATGAATAAATACAAAGACGACCTTCATAGAAAATGTATAAAGAAAAGTTTGTTAAAACTTACCATGTAACCAGGTAACTCAGTAGAGTAATATTCATTAAATAATCCAGTGAAATAACATCTAGGCTGATCCAGGATTCAGCTGTTCAGAACTTTCTTGGAAGAAAAAAGGTAGAAAATCAGTTTTGGTACTGAAATCCATAGGACCATACTGTTATTACATGAAGTCTCAAGCGCTGTGAAAGTCTGTGTTATTGTGTCAAAATAAGCAGCCATCGCGGCTTGTGAAGGACTAACATGACGTCGCTGCCAAGTTTATGACGTCACAATGCATAGGTAAGCTCGCTGACTAGATAGTTTACAGAAAGATAAGTCCAACCTATTTTTGCAAGATGATGCAACAGGTATCAAAAAGATGATGCAATAGATATATAAAGATGATGCAACAAGTATAAAGATGATGCAATAGATATATAAAGATGATGCAACAGGTATATCAAAAAGATGATGCAATAGATATATAAAGATGATGCAATAGATATATAAAGATGATGCAATAGATCTAAAAGATGATGCAACATATGTACTGAATTGACCCAGCTATCCCTAGAACCCCCTAATCTGCACTCCCTTGACCCGCCTATCCCCCCCAGGGGCTGCACTCCCTTGACCCACCTATCCCCCAGGGGCTGCACTCCCTTGACCCACCTATCCCCCCAACCCCAAAAGTGCACTCAGTTGACCCAGCCATCCAGGCGCCTTATACTACTAAAGGGGATTGTGGCAACTGGTTCTTTAGAAAACATCTTCAGACTAATTTAACAAATGTTATATTTGGAAGTAATTCCCCCCATTGCTGACGTACAATACCACATGTACAACATGATGTGCATGCCTGCTTCTAATTACACAATTAATTCAAAAAAAAAATTTTTAAACAAACATTATATCCTGGAAAATTTATCTGTGAGATTGAATACAATATCGTTTGAATATTTTTTTTTTATTTTTCACAAAAATGCTCACACAGTTTCTTAGAAATAAATTCCAGCAGATTTAACAAGTAGTATATACGAAATGCATGAAAATTTCGAAAATGTAGCGGTAATGAGCAAAGACGGCAGTGATGTTCATTAATGTCGGCGATACCACCAGAGATGACTCACTTGATACAATGTACATGTCATGGGCTACGAAAGGAAATTGAAAGTGGGGGTGGGGGGTGGGGGTCGGGCTAATCGAAAGTGGGGGGCTAAACCACCCCCCCCCCCCCCCCAAAAAAAAAAGAAAAAGGTAAATCCCAATTTTCAATGCCTAAATATATATATATGGCTATTTTAAGCTGGTTTCCTCAAATGTTTTTTAAGTAAATTTTAGATAATTTTAGATAAATACGGCATGCACAAATCAGAAAGTCACAATATAAAGGCATGGATATGTAAGATTTTCTATGATACAAAAGACAGTCTTATTGATTATGTTAATTTTCTTTCATTTTTTATCTTAATTCGAATTTGTTTCGAAGTACATGTATTTTTTTTTTAATTATTTATTTATTCATTTATTTTAGCAAAATGATGTGTACGTTTTAAGGCCATACATGGAAATTACGTCTCTCATTTTTTTTTAAAATGATGTGGACGTTTGTGCGTAAAAACTTACGCCTGAATACGCCCGTGTAAAAAGGGTTCAAACTAAATTAGGCGGAAAGAAGGGGGGCTCTTGATGAATCAGTGACTTTTAAACTTCAAAATATATTGTGAACTCATTATGACGGTCCGAGGATAAGATGATAATTTATCTAATATTACATCTTTAATATCCGATAGATTGCATGTTTCTGCAAGACATATACGAATGTTCATTTCTTATGTTTAACTCCCAAAGAAGCGTCTTCAATAAAATTGAATTGTTGTTTACCGAATATACTCAATTATAAGTCGGTTCGCTAATAATTATAGTTCCGATTCAGAAAATTTGGGAGGAATCTAATTTTGACGCGCTCATAATTGCAGGTTAAATTTTGCTGAATATTCGAGCTGAAATTGATGAAAAAAGTTCAAATACTCGGTACAAATATTGTGAAGGATGGGGCCGACAATATTGAAGAGAATTAATAACGTGTACAATATCAAAAACAAAAAAACATACATAAAATGTGACCTGAAGGATTTTCTTGGCATATATTGCATGTTTTATCTCCATCATTTTTTAAGTGTATGACAATAATGGTATAGTGTGCCGCAGACCAGCTGCCTTCAGATGCGCCCCCCTTTACAAAATTCCTGGATTCGCCATCCATAATGAATGTAGATGGACCCCCTCCCATCAATCAATTTTCTGTTTCGCTCTAGAAGCATCCCTTCAGATATTAGTTCAAATCACAAAATTGAAAAAAATTAAACATTAAAAATAATCATACTGATTAAGCCATATTAAATAAAATCCAACTACAAATCATGGGAGATCCTATATATATTTTTTAAACTTTGCAGATTTTTTTATTGACCTGGTCAATCGGTGCAGATTTAAGTAGAAAATCCGAATAAAAGTCATAGTAGATGTACATTTATTTCTTACTTCACATAATCAACAATTTTTCAATGACCCAGTTGTAAAATGCATTAAGGGACAATATCTCTCTGCTCTGTATTTCAAGACTTTTTTTTTAAATCCAGACCTTGATTTTCAGCAACAACTACAGCATTAAATTCAAATGGAAAATAGTTTGAAGTATGAAGCGTTGCTTACTTTTTCAGAAATGAATAATATGTCAAATCATGATGTGAAGAAAATTTGATATGGTAAATAGAAAGATTAATTATCTTTTATCTCACAATTAAATTAGAAATATGAGGTATATATAAAAATAATATTTACTCTCATACCTATCTAATTCCCAGTAGAAAACATACTGAAGCGCTGCTTTTTAAATCAGAATAACAAATTGTTTTCTGTGCATGTAAAATAACATGCATCCATAAACAAGAGTTATCGTTCCATTATCGCCCTTGATTTTTTTTTAACGAAACAAAATATTAATTAAATGTATATTAACAATAGTGCATCTAAAATTTCTGTACATTTAAAAGAATTATACTTTAAGAGATAGAGATTTCTCAATTTACTCTGTTTAAAGGAACTGGGTATAAATGTTTTAAGTAAACTATTATAAATAATTAATAAATATGCAAGCAATAGAAACTAGAAATCAACATTTGTACAATAGTAAAGGTTTGATTGAGTTGACTATAAAATGGTACTCATGAATGAAACTTGTAAACTCTGACATGACAATTTACTGGATTTCATGACAAAATGTCTCAAGAAAGTTATCTCTCTTATCAGAAGAGTTATCTCTCTTATCAGAAGGATATTCCACCTTAATGCCGATATTTGCAGGATTTAAAACAAGAGTTCAGGTATAGTTGAATACCGATCCCGATCATCATTCAGAAAAATGGAAGTATAAAAGTCGAGGCACGAGTAAAAAAAAATCTGGCTGGGCAGAGATGAGAATCTAGATATATTTTTATAATGGCCGTATGAACCATTACGTGTACAATGAATAGCTATCGTATATAATAGTATTATATGTACTATCTTAATTGATTATTTATTTAAGAAAATATTTTTATGTAAGTAAAATACAAGTATGTAAAATATGTATCGAATGTCAAAAATATTTAACAAATAGCTTTTCCTCATTTTTTTTTTTAATTTCTTTTTCCCTGTTTAAATATTCATGCCAAACATGACGTCACATTTTTTAAAACTTATAACGTTATTAGGAAAAACCAAAAGCATTTTAACCGGTGCAAAATCATTACCTGTGTTTTATCAATGAAAAATTCTTCATTTAAAAGGTTTTTTTAATCATTTTCTTTTTCAAATTAATGTTTTGTTTTTTTTTTTTTTTTGTATTACCAGAGTGACAATATTTCTCTAACTTGCAAAAATGCTGACACTTCCTAAATGTACTTACACGTCTTGTCTGATATTGAGTCCTGTATGGCTTTATACGAGTATACAATCATATTTATTTAAAATTTATCATTTGATCGGTTTTGACAACTAGTGCATGATTAAGAATTAATTTTACGAAAACATTTA